CAAGATGTAAAAGTAAACAAAATGCACTCTACTGAAAACAAAAAAAATAAACTCTAACATAGGGTAAGTTGTAATATCATAACAGTGATTTCATTTGTTTACAAATAACTTGAATCATATGGGGAAAACAATTCTTTCATGTACTCGTTTTTCTTTTTTTTTCTACCAATAATTACTACCACTGCTTCTGAAATAGTTACAGTTATAAAAAAAATATTACTATGGAAATACTTGTTTCCCAAGCTGTGGACCCAGGGCCTACAGTATTTAACCCATAAGGTATTAAGTCCAGCATTTGCAAATTTGCCATTTGCACAAAGTTTAAGGTACCAAACCCTCACAAATACCAGAGCTTTGCTGTAAAGTAGGGTCTCGGCATCTGCACATTTTATTTTCGCAAATGTACTCATTCGAGATTCATTCTGTTCAACGGGGTCTTGAATGAAAGAAGAGCAGAGCGGAATGAGTCCGAGCCGAATGTTGTAAGCCGCACCTTACAAAACGGTGGCTGAGATCATGAGATGTCTCAGGCTAATGAGGGAGCCTCTATACCTGACGTCCACCCAAATATCTAAGACCCAGGTCTTGTTTTTCTATTGCAATGAACACTCTGGGATCTGTGTCAGCATCAGGGGGAATGACAGGCTGGAGGTGACTTTACAGGCTCTCTGACGGTTTTATTGCACGTTTCGTTACCCTAGGGTACGCTATTCATGTAGGCAGAGAGTAAGTGCAGCTCGCCGCCGAGGAGGGATTCATGTTGTTTATTTTAATTGATTACTATAAGGTTGTCATTGCTACTGCTTCTTTTAGTTGATCATTTTTATTTAAATTAACTTTAAGCCGTTGCATTGATACTTATCATATAAGGTGGGGTTATTAATGTCTTTTACCCATAAATACTAGTTACATTATGCAAAGGTTTAGGGGTAGACTTGGTTAAATGTGAATTTGGCTATTCTTTAGGCTACTCTACAGTATATAATTATATTAATATTTGCACATGTACATACTCAAAAATGTATATTTAATCAAAATTTCAGAATTAATTAATTTCTGAAAGGAGGATCCATAGAAATGTATTTGTACACTTCAACACTTTTACTACAGATCCAAACTTACAATACAGAGTATAACACTGTTAATTATGTTATCTTGCAATAACAGAGAAGCAGCAATAACAGAGAAGCAATCATGTTATGTACCAAGTATGCCTGGAAGGTTTTCAAGTTAATATAGAGACAGGCATTTTCAATAAACTTATATTTATGATCCTTATGTTTCCTTTTCATATAACACTTCCACTATACTGCAATTGCAAAAAAAAAAGATTTGTATGAACACAGGTATTGACATGTTCTAATTCAGTAATCACTGCACTCTCTTTAGGCCTGTATTACAAAATACAAATAGGAACTGTTTACAGTATGTTTGTATGCTTATTCTACTTCATTTGATTTTGTGCTTTAGCTCTCAGCAGATCATCACCTTGGCACTTTCTTCAATATACCTGCACCTGTACTTCAATACACGTTCACCACACATCAGCTATCAGGGTGGAGGAGAACAGAGTAATGAAGCCATTCATAGATGGGGATTATTAGGAGGTTGTAAGAGGTAAATAGGTCCAGGACACTGGGGTTAATACCCTACTCTTTTCAAGAAACACCCTTGAATTTTAAATGATCATAGAAAATCAACCTTGGTTTTAAAACTCATCCGAAGGTTGGTGCCCATTTTTAACAGTATAGTGTCCCCATCACTATACTGGGGCATAAGGGCCCACATAGACAGCAGAATCCCCTACTAGCCCACTAACACCTCTTCAAGGAGAAACCTTAGCATTCCCAGGAGGTCTTCCATCCAGGTACTGGCCAGGTTCACACCTGCTTAGCTTCAGTGGGTTGCCAGTTATGAGCTGCAGGGTGATATAGCTCCTCAATTTGAAGTTTTCCAAACCTTAAAAAGCTAAACACTAGTAATCATCGTAGGACAGAAATATGAGATAAGATGTTTGTTCATTTTCAGTATACATTTCTCAACTTCCTTTGGATCGTTTGTTTCTCTTTTTGAAACCATTCAATTCTTCACTTAACAAACCTTTAATGCCAGCTGGATTATTAAGCCTATTTGTGTTAGCCTGGTACAAATTAATCAGATTTATTTTCTTCAGCCTGTTCATAAATATAGAACTTACAAGTACTAAAACTGAGTCTCGTGCTGCAGAAGGGGTTGAGGACTAAAGTCACCTTCTCTGTGTCATACAAGTTTGAATGTACATATAATGTGCTTAGAGATCTGTATTCAACACTGCACTGAACTGTTCGCATACGAAGTACTCTAATTCTCACAAATCCCCATCTTTATATATAATTTTCTGGTGTATATACTGTATAGTTCTAAGTAGGATCATAGTTTTATAATAGCTTTAATTCCCTACTAATACTTATAGGTATTCTCTACTGTGCTGCTGTAATTTTAATGAAACCAACTATTTCTGTCAACATTTGAAAAAACTTGTCTCCTGTAGCTTTCTACTATTTTTAGCATTTTCTTGCCTATATTAAAATTGCTTGATTCAGTGTCTCACAGAATCTTCTTTGTTTAGAAATAAAGGATGATAATTTGTCACTGGTTTAGTGTAATTCAATAGGAAAATTAGTGGCCTGGATTAATGAGATTCTAATTACTTATTTACTGTACTTATCTGTTGCTTATAACCCTGGCTTTTATGTAATTTTAATAGCTTTGTATTGTAGTTTTGTTAAAATGCATTAAATATAAAATGCATTACATTGTTTTACATTTAGATAATAAAAGTCAAAAGCAAATGCAAAATCTCATTTTACTGTATGTCATTTTTGCATTGCTTGTCCAAATGATCACTGCAGTACTGTCTGTAACTGTCTTTACCTAGATTATTATTAGAACCTATTTTAAAAAACTGTAAAAGGTATTTTTTTCTTTTCTTTTTTTCTTTCTTTTTTAGCAGATCTGTCTCAGGAAAATAATCTTCCAAACTTTAATTGAAGAAACCTTTAAACTGGCTATTAAAACTATTTTCTTCATTCATGAAGTGGCACTTTGTGCATTGGAACTTAGAAAAAATACATGCAGAACTTGTACATACATTACAATACAAAAAGAGGATACCAGTTTCATAAAACTATTTTTAAAATTATATGTCAAAATACATTGTTACTTAAGATTAACGTGAGCATGTTACTGGCCCATATTTGTTTATTACAAGATATCAAAGAAGCAAAAGAGTTTTGTTTTCTAATGTTTTGAGGTTGTATTAATTCTTAATATATTAAAATATTAATAAGCTCTGGGATGTTGCTTAATGAATACAAAATTACTGTTAAAACACTTTACAAAAAAATCCCTACTGAGCAGTCTGTCACTAAGCCATTCGGCCTACATGGAAAAAACTGTCCTTATTCAAAAGAGATAACTAGATTATATAGTTAGCAAAAAATAGGCAACAACAGATAACAGAAAGGGAGTTTCTGAGGTTATGGACTGGTTTAGGATAATGGATCAAACCTATAAAGAAGGGTTAAAAAATCATGTAACTGTTCTTTATTAACAATGTTTCCCCAATTGCTCTAATAGTTTTATTCAGTTACCATCAATTTTCTTGGTTTGCATCATTTGCAGCTGAAACATGGCTCTGTTAAACCCATTTTAGAGGTAGGAAATTGCTTCGGAGATATCCTGTTGGTGTGTGTTCAATCAGAACAGAAAGCCTGAAGCTTCCTCTGCAAATGATATTAAGCGCTGATTGTAATTTACAAAGCAGTAATGTTAACACAGAATACCACACTTAAAAAAAGTAGCATCAAATTAGAAGGAACCGCTCCCCACCCCCATAGTCAAAGTACCATGACATCACACTTTGCATTAAGATTACCACTGTCCTTAGAAAGTGATAAAACACCAGAAGGTATGCTATACAGAAGTCTGTAGTCTGCTATAGTACTTGAGGGTTAATGTTTCCTCATTTTCCAAGCATCACATGCCTTACTTGGATGAGGACATATATTTTAAACACTCTTTGCCTCATCGCCTTCAAGATTTATGGAGATTTCTCTTTTTCCACGCTGTTTTTTCTCATTAAAATCAAACTTAAATTTGTTTTTAAGCAAAACTTAATCACTCAATCTGTAAGTGTAATTGTTTTTCTCCAAACTTATTCAATATACACTTTCCAGTACTTTCTACCTACAGTATTACAGAGATCATAGGTTAATGTTGTAAACAAACCGATATGGAACTCGTATAATTTTCTTGATTCAAATTGTATAAATAACATTTTAACAATAACTGGTTTCTTCTGAAGCAACATAATACACTGCCGATAAAGTAAAGTTTTGGTTTTAAGATTTTTCCCCATTGAAATCTTAACGTGAATCACTGTGAGAGTTAATCACATGCATGACACAAAAACATTTATGATTACAACATGGGAAATAATACATCTAGATGCTAAGATGAAGGTCCTACACTGACAGGTTAAACAATTGATTGTGTTTACTCGATCAGAAACGGCTATCAGGGGATCTGATCCTAGTATTCAAAATTCTCAAGTATTGATTAAAGTACTAACTAATTCAACCCAGTGGACTTTAGAATCAACAGTGAAACACAAACACTAAGTGGAAATTATGTGGAAGTGCATTTGAAACTAAGTACAGAAAACAAAGGATTCTTTAAGCAAATGGTTGTTTAGCTACCCAGCCTTGTTGTTGAAGCCAATAACCTGGTTTCTTTTACTAAACATCCAAATGAGATTATAGGAACAATAAGCTACTAATTTATCAAAATAGTATCAAATAGACCAGAAAAACGTTCCAATTCATCCATAAAAAGAATAAGAAGCCTGCTGTGGTAAGGTCACTAAAGACAGTTCTGATAGACAAATGAAATCCCAGTAATTTTTTTCCAAAGGGCTGAAGCTGCATTTGTAATTCAATGCAGACAAACTGCAAGCTTACCTTGTTAGTGGGTACTGTCTCCCTAAGGATGCCTGGGGATCTTGCTGGCGGATAGCTCTTATTGCAGTGGGAGCAGTGAACATGGCTGTCACTCCGTGTTCAGATATCAAACGGAAATATGCTGCAGCATCTGGGGTCCCCACAGGCTTTCCCTATGGAGAGTATGCAATTAAACTTGGAAAACATGGCTTGCAAAATGCTTCACTCAGGTCATATTTTCAAACACCATACTAACTGGAAAAGATTGCTATGGGCACACGAAAATTAGTATTTTATTCTTCTTTCCAATTAGCTCTCCAAGAACCAATACAAACATGTGATAATAAGTCAAAGTTGATGTAATGCCCAAGATCTGTTTAGTAGTTTTCCTAGAAAAGATTTTTAATTCAAGGCTGTAATTCAATGCAATATATGATCACCGTGAAAAAAGACATAAGAATTCAAAATGCCTGTTTAAACAAATAGTATTCATTACTCATCTAGAACTGAGCTGAGATATGCCATATCATATATACTATACAGAGGCTAAAAATGGATCTATAGTCTTAGAAGGAGAAAAACATCTACAATGGCTTCTTCATCAATGTTAATATGAATGATGTACAGTGTCTTGCAATGTACTGAGACCCTTGCATAGTTTGCATATTGTGTTACTTTATACCTGAAGCTTGCATTATTAAATGTCAAAGTAGAAATGAATATTGTTAAACACACAACCTACTGAACATATTCAAAACATAAAACAAAAGGAAGAAATAATAGATAATATGAAGGAAAAATGAAAAATTCATGACTGCATAATTATTAACTTTTCTGTGCCAAAAAGAAATGAGGTGCACAAAATTACCTTAATAAGCCACACAGTCAGTTGGTTTAGTGGCCTCTATCTGTGACTATGATGATTTCAGAATGAAAACACCTGTCTCTGTGAAGTTTCTTGGTCATGCAGTGAATTTCAAATAAAGACTCAACCACGAATACTAAGGAGATTTCAAAGCAAGTCAGGGATAAAGTGACTGAAAAGCTCAGATCAAGAGAAGAGTACAAAAATATCAAAGTCACTGAATATCCCTGTGAACACAGTCTACTAAATCATCAAGAAATGAAAGATGCATTATACCCTCCAGACACTGCCTAGATCAAGTAATGGATGTGACTATGGGTCCAACAACATCTATGTAAGATCGCTGGGATTTCAATAAGATGGGAGAAAATGCAACAGTCAAACCACATTCCTGTCACTCCACAAAGCTGGAATGCATGGCAGAATGGAAAACCCATCTCATATCCTACGTGAAGTTTGCAACACAGCACCTCAATAATCCTGCTATAAAATCCCCATAGTAGCTGCAGTCAAATCAGACCAAACTGGGACCTTCTGGTCTAAATACTAAGCATTCCATTTGGTACAGACCCATCATAGCAAAATTTCCAGACATCATCACTACAGGTAAGCATGGTGGCAGGAGCAATGGTTTTCCTTAGAACACACTTGTGTGTTTCTTAGGATTAAATCTTGTTAGGAATTTTAAAAAAGGAGGAAGCAACGTACAGGCAAATACTACAGGGAAATATTCTGGACTTTCAAAAACTTAAGTGAGGTGAAATTCACCCTTCAGCGAGACAATAATCCAAAACAGAAGGCCAAAGCAACATTGGAGTGCTTTAAGAATACACACGTGAATGTCCTTGAACATCCTAACCCGAATCCAACTGAGAATCTGTGGAAAGGCTTGAAAACTGGTAAAAATGGGTAAAAATGCATCAAGTCAGTGTGAAAACTTGACAGAGATTTATCCCCAATGACTTGCATGTGTAATTGCTGTCAAAGGTGCTTTCACAGAATATTGGGTTCATGGGTCTAAAGCAATCAACATAATTCATTTTTGTCTTTGTTTTTTGCTAACATTTGCTGTAGCACATCATAGCCTTAAAAGCCTTTGGGCATTCAGGTTTTGAATAAAATATTCTGTTTGAAAAAAATGTGTATGCAACATTTGGTAATTTAACAAAATTGGATACTATAGGATAGGTATAAATACTTTTTCAAAACACTTTATAAACTTGAAATATGAAATGGCACAGCTACTGTAAGTTCATGTTTCTTTATTGTAGCGGCACATACTGCTTTGAACTAATGAGATGAACGGATACCCCTCAGGGTGACAGGGCTTGTAATATCTTGTAGAGGCAAAAATAGACACTGCCACCAGCCCCACAGCACAAAACAGCACAAGTGAAAAGGAAGCACAGAAGCATGAAAACACAACCATTTTAATCTTCAATTAGATAAGGTGATTATCACACATGACAAATAAATAAGACAAAGAAGTTGATAAAATCAGGTTAAACCATCATAAGATCAGATCACTTTATTGGCCATATACAATTTCTTGTATTAGGAATATGTCTTTTCACATACCCCAACTTGCTCTCCATGAGACACACAGACAGGGAGAGAAGCCTGGGATTAGAGCGCAGGGTCAGCCATATATATGGCGTCCCTGGAGCAGTTGTGGTTAAGGGCCTTGCTCAGGGGCCCAACAGAGTAGTAGGATTCCTCTGCCGACCGCGGGATTCAAACCGGCAACCTTCCAGCCACAGGCACAGATCCTTAGCCACCGAAGGTGCAAATACTGAGATATCCCAGTGGAAACAAGAACTGTATGTCAAAATAATTGATGAGGGATCTATGAAAACCAACTAGATACAAAAAGAACCCTAGTCCGAGTATGGTCATGACCATAAGTTAATCTCTTATTTTTCTACCCCCATAAATTCATAAAAATGAGTGGAGCACTTAAGACATCCTACAGTACACAAAACAAATTAATGGTGTCTTCCCAATTGATAAAATTCCACGATTACCAACTTTGACATAACAGGGGGAAAGCAAAAAAAGAATAAAAAGTAAACTTTCTAAAATATTAAATAAAAATTAAATCAAATAATCATTCTGGGATGATATGGCTATTGTTAGACACAATGGAGGACCTTGCAGATTTCAAAGTTAGCTTAAAGGTGTTCTTCTTCTACCTGTATGTTTAAGTTTATTCACCTGAGATGTCCCTCAGCTAATACCCCAAAAACCTTACTCTTAAGGCTCAGCCCAAGCTTTCTACTGAGTGAGACTAAGACTAAAGTTCAGAGAACATACTATCATATAAGAGTGTTTCTTAACCCTTTCCATCCCACATCATATCACCATGTCACCAGCTCAAGCACATTTTAAGTCTGAGTTTGCTTCAAAATTCACAGTTCCCTTATCCTGGCAGGAACTGATGATAGTGAGCTGTTGCTCACCTACTCCTAGTCATTCTCAGTTTTTAGTTGGTCTGTGAAAGTTGAAAAACTTCTCACACATGATCCCAACATCTACAAGTTAAAGCATGGTCTCTGTCTCATGCGTATATACTGCATGGTCAATAACACACCTAGGTTATTCCTTAAAATCAATATACAAACAATATTTTTTTTTCATATGTGACTTTTCCTAAATGCCACAGAATGCCCTTTATTGTCTGAATGCACACCATGTCATGCCACACTGGTTGAAAAATGCTGCTATATACTGTACACATAGTTTCTCTTACAAGATAAATGAATGCCGTAAAGCACAATTAAAACTGTACAAAACAGAACAACAGAAGAAATAAACTGAATATATTACAAATCATATAAACAGTGAAGGCAATATATCAGCTGACCATGCCTTTGTGTATTATTTCCCATAAGGAATTCCACGTTTAAAAATCACAGTTTGTTAAAGTTTTGTTCATTACCAGATTTCCCTGTAATGAAGATTAGTTACCTCATGCAAAATTAAAAGAAGAAAAAAAACATTAAATGTGAAAGAGGTTACAGCTCTCTGGATGGTGGTGTTTAAAATTGCAGCTTTCAAACTAATAAAATACAGCAGGGTCCTTTGTGTGATTCAGAATTCTTAATGCCACTCTAGGCACACTTTAGTGCCTGGAAACAGAATGTTCAAAGTGTTACTCATTGAGACTTTGCCAACCTGAACATGAACAATTAGTAATTCTTATACCAGCACTCAGAATGCAATGATCTTATTTTAAATTCTTGAGAAGATGCATTTTCAGATTTATAAATTCTTTGAACCTGAAGTCTGTACCCATTTACTAAAAGCGATAAAAGATAAGGTCACCTTATTAGCATATACAATTTCTTGTATTAGGAATTCATCCTTTTGCATACTTGCTCTCCATGAGACACAGAGACAGGGATAGAAGCCTGGGGTCAGAGTGCAGGGTCTGCCATTGTACAGCGCCCCTGGAGCAGTTGAGGTTAAGGGCCTTGCTCAGGAGCCCAACGGAGTAGGATTCCTCTGCCGGCTGTCAAATGTCAAACTGTCAAATACCATTTTTCTAATTACTTTTGTATTGGGTAGCGAATTGACCTTTCAGTAGATGGGTAAAAGAGAAAAGAGTTTGTCTATAGTGTGGTTCTATTCCTCTGGGAAGGGGAATTAAAACTAAGGACACACAAATGAAACAAGTGTCTCAAATGTGTAACACTCTCTTCTGTGCTCCCTGAGAGTACAGTCATTCTTCCAGACTGTAGTCCTCCCTTTTTGTGCTTCTGGGATAGGCTCCAAAAAAAATTTCCTGATAACAGATGGACACAAAAGAAGTAAATTGGTAAGAACAAAGTAAAGTAAAAGTTAAATAGTAAAGTGACAGAAATAGTGAAAGGTAAAAAGATCACACAGTGTTGTAACTTACAAAAAAACCCAAAGCAGCTGATTTTCATCTGATGAAGTGACTATTTAGTACATCTATGCAATGAACACGCAGCACTTTTGATCATTCATTCACACTTAAATTAACAAAAGGCAGCTTATTGAAGGGAAAACATCTTATTGTATGTTCAGACATAGAGGTTGAAGTTATCTGGCCAATGCACACAGACTTCTGGGTTATTTTGTATAGCTGCAGCATCTTTACCTTATCTGCTATATTCCCAGACAAATGAAAACAGGAAACAGTTCACAGCAGCCTACAAGAGAATAGTTCTAAAATCAACTACCCTGGAACTACCCTTTCTCTGGATGACTATGTGTTATGATAACAACAACCACATTATGTGTCTTCTGACACCACATATATATATATATTTTTTTTATTTTACA